CCCTGTCTCTCTCACTCCTCTCTCTCACCCCCCCCCCTTCTCTTTCATCCCCCTCTCTCGCTCTCGCCCCCCCCACCCCTCTCTCTCATCCCCCTCTAACCCCCCTTGTGCTTTCTCACCCGCATTTTTCTCTCTCACACCCCCTCCCTCTCTCTCTCTTTAACCCCCCTATCTCTCTCACCACTCTGTCTCTCCCACCCCCCTCTCTCTCCCCCCCTGTCTCTAACCCCCTTCTTCTCTTTAACCCCATCTCTCTCTCACCCCCTCTCTGTCACATTTCACCCCCTCCCTCTCTCTCACCGCCCAACCCCCTTTCTCTCTCACCCCCCCTTTTCTATCTTTCACCCTTTCTCTTTCCTGTGAATTGGACTGGTTAACTCCTGGGGGGGGAGGGAATAATTCATTAACAATGTCATTAGTAAAGTACAGCAAGAAGGGGTTAATGTTCTGTCACTGGTCGCTGATGCATTAGTGAACAGTGACAGTTATTTAACCCCTTGAGCTGCATTAGTGGCACCAGTGTCAGTGTTAATTACCCTTCATGAAGGGGTTAAAAAACACTGCCAGTGGCCGCTAAAGCAGCACAAAGAGGTTCATTAACTCCACCAATGTCCACCAATGGGGAGGGATTACAGTCAAATGTACAGTTTAAACCTAACTAGCCTTAAAAATTCTCCCATCTTCCCTCCTAACGCCTATGCTGGCTAAGCTGTTAGAAAAGATGTATACACCTATTTTCAGGTTGCTCCAGTCTGGCCACGTTATCCCTGTGTGAGCCAGAGGTGCATGCAGAGGAGAGGAGGGGAGCACCAACAACAGATGGGACATGGGAACCTATGGGTGATGTCACCACTCCAGGCTTTACTGGCCATAGTCAAGCGTTCTCTCCTCTCCTCTGCAGCCACTGCTGACTGACACAGGGGATTATGTGACCAGACCGGAGCTAGCTGATGATTGTCAAGTTCGTGGGCTAGGGGGGCGCAACTTACTTGCCTTGCCCCGGGAGCTGAAAACCCACACTACGCCACTGCCGTATATCAATACATGACCTGGTCATGAAGGAAGGTTAATCTTCCAGAGTGAATATATACAGGGGCGGGCTGACCATTCGAGCACTCGGGCCCTGCCCAAGGGCCCGGGGTCAGTAGAGGGGCCCATGAGATGCCCCTGGTGTGGTTTGAGTGTGGGCAAGGACACAGGGGCCCCATGATCCCCTATTGCCCGGGGGCCACATGAGTTATCAGTCCGACCCTGAATATATATATATATCATGAGATGCCCCTGGTACCTTTCATAGGCTTTTTTGGGTGTGGTTTGAGTGTGGGGCGAGGACACAGGGGCCCCATGATCCCCTATTGCTCGGGGACCCCATGAGTTGTCAGTCTGCCCCTGAATATATATATATATATATCATAAGATGCCCCTGGTACCTTTCATAGGCTTTTTTGGGTGTGGTTTGAGTGTGGGCGAGGACACAGGGGCCCCATGATCCCCTATTGCTCGGGGGCCCCATGAGTTGTCAGTCTGCCCCTGAATATATATATATATATATATCATGAGATGCTCCTGGTACCTTTCATAGGCTTTTTTGGGTGTGGTTTGAGTGTGGGCGAGGACACAGGGGCCCCATGATCCCCTATTGCCCGGGGGCCCCATGAGTTATCAGCCCACCCCTGAATATATATATATATATATCATGAGATGCTCCTGGTACCTTTCATAGGTTTTTTTGGGTGTGGTTTGAGTGTGGGCGAGGACACAGGGGCCCCATGATCCCCTATTGCCCGGGGGCCCCATGAGTTATCAGCCCACCCCTGAATAATATATATACCAGGAGATGGCTATGGAGTTTGCATTAAGATGCAACAAAGAATGAAAAAGTAAAATCAATAATTTTATTTTTTATAAATGACAATTGTTTAAGACACGGAGCTTTAACAAACTAAATGTCATTTGGGTTTACTTCTACTTTAATTCACACACACAAAAAAAAAAAACTGTCAGCATCAGGTAGTCCAACAAGGACAAAATTGTGTCACACAAACAATTTACTAATTAAAGTCATTCAGCTGAAAATGAAAAAGCAATTTTGATGATAGATTTTCAGGGTCCAGATGAAGACTGATGTCTGACGCTGAACAATTCTCATTATGTTGACTTTCCGCTAATGATTACCTAATGGGAGCATGAAAAAAAAAATAGCATCATTTTCATAGTTTCTATCTGTTGGTACTGTAATCCAGCTGCTCCTAAGGGAGACGTTCACTTTAAGAGTTCAGCTGTATTTTATACAGTTGCAAGAAAAAGTATGTGAACCCCTTGGGATTACGTGGAATTTTGCATGAATTGGGCATAAAACATCAAGGCTTTTGGAGATACTTTTGTAACTCTTTCCAGCTTCATGCCAGTCAACAATTCTTGATCGTAGGTCTTCTGAGAGCTTTTTTCCGCGAGGCATGGTTCACATCAGACAGTGCTTCTTGAAACCAGTAAACCCAAAACAGGTGTGTGTTTTTTAAGGGCAGGACAGCTGTCAGCAACACATCCAATATCATCACACTGATTGGAGTCAAGGTTGGCTCACTCCTGGCTCCAATTAGCTCTGGGAGAAGTCATTAAGCTAGGGCCTCACATACTTTTTCCTCCCTGCACTGTGAATGTTTACATGTTATGTGCAATTAAACCATGGCAACATCTAATGTTTGTGTAGTATTATGTTCAGCAGACTGTGTTCTTCTATTAACATAAAAATAGTGCAGCGCTAAAAGTAGTGACAATAAGACAAATAAAAGTCCACTAAAAGTCTTGGTCATATGGACGTGTCCAGTGACAAATGAGGATTCAGAATTGGTGATCCGTGTGGAAACGGCTGAAAAACGCACTCACCAGAAGTAAGACACATAAACGCAGTGTGCATCTAGAGCTCATGGATCCTCAATCCAGAGGGGAGTAAAGCTGGTCCGGTTACAGGAATGGTGAATCCCTCCTCTGTGGATGCAGCAACAGATCCTCCTTCTCTCGATTAGGTGTAGAATTCCAAGATCAAGATTCTGCAAGCAAAAGCTTAAGAGCAGCTCATTGGCTCCCCAACTATCTTAATTTGCATTAAGCAGATCTAGTGTTCTGATTTGCCGATGCTCTGTCTTACGCAACTCTACTCACACTTTGGCGTCACGTCACTGCATCCACAGAGGAGGGATTCACCATTCCTGTAACCGGACCAGCTTTACTCCCCTCTGGATTGAGGATCCATGAGCTCTAGATGCACACTGCGTTTATGTGTCTTACTTCTGGTGAGTGCGTTTTTCAGCCGTTTCCACACGGATCACCAATTCTGAATCCTCATTTGTCACTGGACACGTCCATATGACCAAGACTTTTAGTGGACTTTTATTTGTCTTATTGTCACTACTTTTAGCGCTGCACTATTTTTATGTTATTTCATTTAAGTTTATATTGGTTGCTTAGAGTGCTCAGCCGCTTTCAGGATTAGCGCTCACTGCTGTTTTTTTCTATACCTGTGTTCTTCTATTGTTGTGACTTAGATGACGTTCAGAGCACATTTTATGCCCAATTCATGCAAAACTCCACGTAATCCCAAGGGGTTCACATACTTTTTCTTGCAACTGTATATATACGCCTTTACTGTACATTTTACCCTGAAACCATTTTTTAAATACCTGACAGCAATTCAGTTTATAAAATAAAGGTGTTTACCCTCGAGGGTAAATGGAACTGAGGAGACCAGTATACTGCATTGTATTTAACTCTGGTTGACAAATGACAAATTATGTTTTTTACCGGCAAAATCATAGGAACGGGTTGAAGCAGGAGGGAGAAGGTTGTAGTGAACTCTGGATCTTTCATCTTGATATTTGTTAGTTTAGATCAAACATGTAACCATATACATAAATACATTACCATGTGACGTCTATGAGGTCTGGGGGGGCCCTGAGCTGTCTGGCTTCATGGTGATATGTGCATGTACCAACAGCAGTTTGCAAATATAATAGGATAAAATTAGTATTTAACCAAATCCAGAGCATATAATCCAACAGGAGAAAAAAAAACGTTGAACACATAACATTTTGGCAGCTCCTGCTTACACCTGCACTGTTTCGCCTCTTTGCTGACATCTACCCTCAGCACTGGTCTCTAGTAATGTACTGACTTTGCTGACATCCCCCCTCCTACTTGCCTCCGATAGTAGCTTGCAAATATATTTGGATAAAATTAGTGTATATGCAAAATTGGTATAAAAGCAATTCATATTTTTTTTTAATCCCTGGAAAAACTGCCTTTCAGATAGAGAATAGGAAGCTGGGTGGGATTGGTTCCTAAGCCAAGGATGTAACAATTGAAGTAGCACTTCATGTACTTGCTAAGGGGTCCAGGAGCATAGGGGGGACCCAGAGCTGTTTGGCAACACAGTGATGCATGCAGTGAGCAACAGTATTTGTTATATAAGGCAGGCCAATTTCCTTTCCTGCAACCACATGTTTCATAGTCAGTGTTGGGGGAAATCCCTCCCACAAAGCTTTTGGGTTCTCCTGCAAGGGGGTGTTGGGAGCCGTCCCTCCTGGGAGAACAATGTGATTATTGCTAACGTCTATAGCTGCATCCTATAGACCCAATATGCTGGTTGGACCCAAATTGTTTGATGGGTTGACTTTGGTATGATCAGCCTGCCTATATATAGAACGAATCTCGGTCAGTCCCTACTGAACCAGCTAAGATTCGTTCCATCTATTGCTGGCTTAAAGTGTTAAAGTCTAGTAATGCTATCACTGGGCTGAAGCTAGAGGGAGCTCTAATGATTTGTAGTGTGACTTCAGGAGACTAACAGCCAACAAGCTCACATTAAAGTGTTACTAAACCCAGGACCCTGCATTCACTATATCTGGTCTCCCCGGACCCTGCATTCACTATATCTGGTCTCCCTGGACCTTGCATTCACTATATCCGGTCTCCGGGACTCTGCATTCACTATATCTGGTCTCCCCGGACCCTGCATTCACTATATCTGGTCTCCCCAGACCCTGCATTCACTATATCCGGTCTCCCTGGACCTTGCATTCACTATATCCGGTCTCCGGGACTCTGCATTCACTATATCTGGTCTCCCCAGACCCTGCATTCACTATATCTGGTCTCCCCAGACCCTGCATTCACTATATCTGGTCTCCCCGGACCCTGCATTCACTGTATCTGGTCTCCCACAGTACACAGAACATGGAAATGCAATTATTTATATTTAAATATAAACTGTATTCACTATATCCGGTCTCCCCGGACCCTGCATTCACTATATCTGGTCTCCCCGGACCCTGCATTCACTATATCTGGTCTCCCCAGACCCTGCATTCACTATATCTGGTCTCCCTGGACCCCACATTCACTACATCCGGTCTCCCCGGACCCGGCATTCACTATATCTGGTCTCCCCAGACCCGGCGTTCACTATATCCGCTCTCCCACAGTACACAGAACATGGAAATGCAATTATTTTAGTAAATATAAACTGCTAAATACCCCTTTTTTTCATTAGCAGTTAGAGCAGTCTTAACTTCTATCAGTACCCAGCAGAGCATTGGTTAACCTTGTAAGAGGAGTTTTGATTCTCCCCTGATTATCCTATGAGGCAGCAGGACCCCTGACTCTCTGTCTGGACAGTGCTGATTGGCCCTGTGCTGATCACGTGCACTCTCCCAAGAAAAAAAAAAAAAACCTTTCTAGCAATACACATCAAACTGAGCATGTCCAGCCTGCCCCCAAGGTCCTGTTCTATCAGGAGATGGATTGGGGATTGTGGAAGAAGGGGAGGATCAGAGGAGACAGGATCAAACATCCTTTTTACACAATATGGAGGATTAACCCTTTAGGTTCCACAGTGAGTATAACAAGCATGTTTCACTGCAGATACAGACTGATTGTACTGTTGTGGGTTTAGTAACACTTTAAGTTTGAATTAAATATTTAAATATAAAGTTTGTTTGGAAACCTCTATATGACCAATGACTGGGCCCAAGGAAATGACATAATTAACCCTGTATATGCACTGACGCCATCCTAAACAGAAAGTACACAGGCTGTGACCCGCACCTAGGATTGCTTTTAAGATAACCCACCATTTTTTCCTGTTCATGTAAAGTGATAGAGCCTTTTAAACCTCCACTTCCAGTCCAGCAACGTGTGTGCAAATTGGTAACCTGTAAAGACTTTTTTAAAGTGTCACCTATGGATAATTTAGTGTACCATAGTGTGGCGCTGTTCCATGGGAGTGCACATATTTAAAGCGTGACATGTTTGGTATCCATTTACTCAGTGTAGCATCATCTGTTGTATTGTAATAAAAATTGGGTATTATATTGTGCTTGTGTGCATTAAAATGAATTAAAATGGGAGGTGTGGGTGTCTCCCGCTGAAGGAGATGACAGAACTGTGATTGAGCTGCAGGACAGCGGGACTCCCGGAGGTGATTTTAAGTGACCCACAGCAATCCTGAGTGCACAAACAGGGGGCTACAGTGGCGGTTTAGCCCCCACAATAGAGAAGAGAAAGAACAGAGAGGGACCCCGTAAACGAAGGGAAATCATCAGCCCAGCCAGGACCCTGGAGAAACAAGGTGGCCCCGGCTCCAGCATGTCCTCTCACACAGGCTGCAAAAAGGAGAAGAGAGGAAAAAACATGAGAGCACTCACAGAAATGGAGGTACAGCTCTAAGGCTGATTTTCAGACCCCAGTTAAGCAAAAATAAGACTGATGAACGCAGGGAGAGGTAAGTGACTTTAATGATGATTGTGATGATACATGATATTTCCTAAAGTATTGGGCCGTCTGCTTTCCCACGCACATGAACTTTAATGGCATCCCAGTCTTAGTCTGTAGGGTTCAATATTGAGCTGGCCCCGTCCTTTGCAGCTATAACAGCTTCAACTCTTCTGGGAAGGCTGTCCACAAGGTTTAGGAGGGTGTCTATGGGAAGGTTTGACTATTCTTCCAGAAGCACATTTGTGAGGCCAGGAACTGATATCGGGGGAGGAGCCTGGCTCACAGTCTCCACTCTACTGTATCCCAAAGGTGTTCTATGGGGTTGAGGTCAGGACTCTGTCCAGGCCAGTCAAGTTCCTCCACCCCAAACTGGCTCCTCCATGTCTTTATGGACCTTGCTTTGTGCACTGGTGCGCAGTCATGTTGGAACAGGAAGGGGCCATCCCCAAACTTTTCCCACAAAGTTGGGAGCATGAAATTTTCCACAATGTCTTGGTATGCTGATGCCTTAAGAGTTCCCTTCACTGGAACTAAGGCACAATGCAGTCAGGAAAGTATTATTCTCCTGGCAAACCCAGACACATCCATCGGATTGCCAGACAGAGAAGCATGATTGGTCACTCCAGAGAACACGTCTCCTCTGCTCTAGAGTCCATTGGCGGAGTACTTTACACCACTGTATCTGACTCTTTGCATTGCACTTGGTGGTGTAAGGCTTGGATGCAGCTGCTTGGCCATGGAAACCCATTCCATGAAGCTCTCTTCGCACTGTTGTTGTGCTAATCTGAAGGCCACACCAAGTTTGGAGGTGTTGACCCTGCAGACAATTGGCGACTTCTATGCATTGTGCGCTTCAGCATGCGCTGACCCCGCTCTGTCATTTAACATGGCCTATAACTTCGTGCTGTTGTTCCCAGTTGCTTCCACTTTGTTATAATACCACTAGCAGTGGAACGTGGAATATTTAGTAGCCAGGAAACGTCACGGATGGACTTATTGCATAGGTGACAACCTATCACGGGACCATGCTTGGAGTCACTGAGCTCCTGAGAGCGACCCATTCTTTCACCAATGTTTGTAGAAGCAGTCTGCATGCCTAGGGCCTTGATTTTACACACCTGTGGCCCTGGAAGTGATTGTAACACCTGAATCCAATGGTTTGGAGGGGTGTCCCAATACTTTTGGTAGTATATATATATATATATATATATATATATTTGGCTTTTTATATATAAATTATATTAATGTTACATTAGTTGTACCTTACAAATTTGTTTTATTATGAACTGATTTATAGTGTATTTGTTTCAAACCATCTTTTAGGGAGGAGATGGAACATGAGTCATTGTTGTAATCCACTGGCATTTTAGTGGGAAAGCCCCATTTATAGACAATGTTGCGAATACGAAGAATTTTCGTAATTGTATTCAGATTTTTGTGGGCCAGCATTGTTGCTTGGGAGAAGTCAGAGAGCAAAATTATTCTAGAGTCCAGATCAGGAAGTGGAGAGTGTTTGCTAGATTACCCCATTAATTGATCCACATGGCAAAAATTTATTCTTGCCAGGGTGTCTCTGGGTAGTTTTTCTGGTACGTGTGCAGGTTTTGGCAGCTTGCATTCTCTGTCAATAATAATTTCTTGAGGAGTAACTGAAGGGAGCAATTCAGTAATCATGCGGGCAATAGGTTCCTTAAGCTCAGATGGTTTAACTGTTTCAGGTACACCTCTTCCTGTTCCAACATGACTGCACACCAGTGCGCAAAGCAAGGTCCATAAAGACATGGAGGAGCCAGTTTGGGGTGGAGGAATTTGACTGGCCTGCGCAACCCCATAGAACAACTTTGGGATGACTTATAGCGGAGACTGTGAGCCAGGCCTCCTCCCCCAACATCAGTGCCTGACCTGACAAATGTGCTTCTGGAAGAATGGTCCAACCTTCCCATAGGCACCCTCCTAAACCTTGTGGACAGCCTTCCCAGAAGAGTTGAAGCTGTTATAGCTGCAAAGGGCGCGGATAGTGGTTTTTTTTACTTATTTTAATAATAAAGAATAAATAATATAAGATTATTGTTTTTACCAATTGTATATGGTACCTTTAAAATCCCATAAAAATTAACATATTTGTTTACCACAGAGATATGGCACCACTTTGAATTGGTTTTAGACACCAGGAAATAGATTGTTGGAAAAAATGTTTCTGTACTGTAATGTTTTTCTCTTATAGCATACATACAGATTTAAAGCATGAAGTATTTGGTGTCTATTTACTTTGTTGCTCTGGAAATGTATGAATTTGTCTTTGTTGCAGAGTCACAACAGAGGTGTAAAGAGAGTCATGCAACTGTTGCATGTCCAAGAAAAAAAAAACAAGAAACTCCTGAGTGACTAAAGATCATTGTAGGTTTGTTAATGATGCTGATCATGAATAACTCCATTGGCATAACAATAGCCATAGCAGCCAAGGCAGCTTCTGTGGGGCTTGGAGTGGAAAAAAGGACCTCTCTACTCTATCCAAAACTTAAAAAAAGTTTTTTTCTTGTTTAGATAAACTTTAATGATAGAAGTTAATCCCCTGCACTGTTTCCCCTCTTACCTGATAATATCTCAAGACGCCAAAATGTTACCAAACACTGGAAACTAGTATTTGGCCAGGGATTAGAACTTGACATATATACGAGGGGCATTCAAGTCAAACCGAGAGTTTGAATTTTACAGGCATAAAAAGGGATGCTAGTGTGGCGGTACTATATGTAGTAGTAAGTGGCAAGGGTGTCCTGTTACCGGTAGGCAGCGCACATGTCCCGGGCGAGTCCAGAGACCGTTAATCAAGATGGCGAACAACAGTGTTAGTGCATGTATGGAACATCGTGTGGTGATGACGTTTCTTGTGAAAAACAGCATAAAACCCACAAATATCTTGAAGACTTCAAGCACAGTACGGTGATGAGATGCTCAGCTGAAGTAAGACATATGAATGGCATAAATGTTTTAAAGATGGCACTATGTCCATCAGTGATGATCCCAGCAGTGGTGTATTTAGCTTTTGTGCTGCCCTAGGCAACACAAAAATCAGCGCCCCCTCACGCAGAGAGAGCCTGACATTGACCAACAATGCCCCTTCCCCCCACCCAAGAGAGCCTTCCATTACCACTGCCCCCATACACCAGCCACCATCGCTCACGGCGAGTGAGAGAGACACTCACCTTCACGGCTCCGGACATCCCCGGGAACGAAAGTCAGGCTGTACATACACAGTCATGAAACCCACAGCCTATCTCGGAACCCACCAGGTCCCCATACCGCATGTGTCCCTTCTTCTGTCCCTTCTTTCAAGGGGCAGTCCTGCTCCCCTGAAAAATGCCGCCCTAGGCAAATGCATCGTTTGCCTTGTGGTAAATACACCTCTGGATCACAGCTGTGGTGGTACCCAGCCCACAGCAGTCATTTCTGTGAACATTCAGTGCGTGGAATGCCTGTTCCTGGATGATCCACACATAACCTGTCATGAAATTGCACAAGAGACAAATCTTTCTGTGAAAACGGTGAACACAATGATGATGAAGTGAAGCCGGCTGTCCTAGGATGGTTCAGACACACTGACAAATCTTTCTATGCCAAAGCTTTCCAGGCATTAGTTAAATGCTGGGATAGTGTATAAATGTAG